ACCTGGCCATGCCGGGCCCATTTTTACGAAGTAAGTAAGTAGATGATTTTATTGTAAAGATAATATGTGAATGTATCCAACTTGGATATAGTGTCTCTGATCATGAAAAAGCTATATAACGTTTTTCGGTTATAAGTTCAGGAGCAGTGATTCTCCACATAGATAAAAATAGTAACAGCCATGATTATTTCCCTATTGTACTCTGGGTGTATTTAATTTTAACTTACATGTGTCATTGTTGCACTGCTGGTTTTTACACACATTATAGTTTTAGTTGTGATTGGAGTTTTATTTACATAGCATTTAACGACTTCACTTTCCGGTGAAAAATCTCTAGGAGGAGAAAGTACCAATTGTTCATATTCTCATAACATATAACCTGAAATTCCTTTCAGTCTGTACTTTTACTCAAGCTTCTGATCTTGTAGATAGCTTCATTTCCTTGTTTATCGGTAAAAATAACATATAAAAATAGAAAAAGTGAGCTTTACGACAAAAACGAAACTATTTCGCTGTGTTTTTCCTTTGAATGTTGGCCCAGTAAACAGTTGAGGAAAACAAATAAGGCTTTATTATTTTTTATGTTTAGGCTATATTGTATTACAGAACGAATATATTAAATTTTTGCATCCTACTAGCAACTTATTCAATTGTATATATTTTTTACTAAAATAACTGCAATTATTGTACTGTAAATGAAATTAACATTAGCTCGTAGTGTTCTATTACTCAAAATATGTATCGATAGAGGCAGGGTAATATCGTATGACACAAAACATGATTCGGTAAACGCAGTGTAACATTGTATGGCAGAAAATATGTCTCGGTAAAGGAAATGTAACATTGTATGGCACACAATACGATTCAGTAAAAGCAGTGTAACATTGTATAGCACACAATACGATTCAGTAAAAGCAGTGTAACATTGTATGGCACACAATACGATTCAGTAAAAGCAGTGTAACATTGTATGGTAGAAAATATGTCTCGGTAAAGGAAATGTAACATTGTATGGCAGAAAATATGTCTCGGTAAAGGAAATGTAACATTGTATGGCAGACTAATTACGATCGGTAAAGGAAATGTAACATTGTATGGCACACAATACGATTCAGTAAAAGCAGTGTAACATTGTATGGTAGAAAATATGTCTCGGTAAAGGCAAGTGTAACTCATGGACCTGATATAAAATAGCTGACATTTCCATTCAACGCCGAGAAAGATATAAGGACTCCGGGGGGTGAAGTGAAGAGATTAAATCCAGACACTGTCCACCTATGTCACTTCACGAGGGGCCCTAAGGGTCCATGGCAGATTTGGTGACAATCGGTCTAGCGGTCTGCCAGTTATAAGCGCACATACACACACACACACACATAATTTTGCCAGATGATAAAA